ACAAAGAGCTTTATTTCTACATCCTCATAACTAGATAGCTTACTTAGATCTTCCTAAGACTAAAGGAGACATCTTAACTCATCCTCAGGCTAATGGAGACTGGAGCTTCTTATTGCTCTGAACAAAGAGTCATAAAATGCTAATTCTAGCTACTTCATTCCCCAATCAGGACAACAAACTACATCTCAATCTGGCGGGCTTTCTAGCTCTCTAAGCAGATAGGATACAAACAAACATGTGGTTCAGTACACAGTATTAACCCAGTAAATACTAAACAGAAGTGTTCTAACTTGTAACATCCAACAGCAGGTTTGGCCACCCCTGGTCTATGGCATCGTACCTGCTGAGCACCCCCTTCCCAAATCCCGCCCTCCGCTGGCTCCACTCCTCAATTCTCCAGGAAGTTCCCAATGGCAACTCTAGAAGGGACCCTGGACTTCCATTTGATTTGTCACGCAATGCGGTGAAAATTGAAATGTATTTCTCTGAGATAATGGTGCACCCCACCCCCCAAAAAAAGAAAAGAAAAAAAATGCTGCTAGCTACCTCCAGTTGTCAGTTTGGTGTAGTGGTTAGGTGTAGTGGTTAAGGACTCTAATCTGGGAGAACTGGGTTTGATCCTCCACTCCTCCACTTGCACCTGCTGGATGACCTTGGGCAAGCCATAGTTCTGATAAGAGCTGTTCTTGAAAAAAAGAGCCGTTTCTGTCAGAGCTCTCTCAGCCCCACCTCCCTCACAGGGTGTCTGTTGAGGGGAGGGGAAGGGAAAGGAGTTTGTAAGCCGCTCTGAGACTCCTCTGGGTAGTGAAGGCAGGCTTACCAAGTACTTACCGTGATTTGGTGGGGGACACATACGTCTTCCCAGGAGCATTCCCACACGGACAACAGACACGCCTCATAGAGATGTAAAATTTCCGGAAATTTTGAAGCTCGGGAAAAAACCTGTTTTTTTCCTGGTTTTTTTCGGGGAGAAAACAGAAATTTTCGGAAAAATTGGAAAAATGCTGCATTAGCATTTCTTTTGTCTTTTCTAGTTTGAAAGTCATTCTGTTACTTTAGGAACATAAAATATGACTATGGACAGGGTGACTGTTTATGATTCTGATCCATGCCAATAAAGGTTTTGAACTGAATTGAATTGAATTGACTATGGAAATTTTTACTTGGCATGAAATTCTCACAACTAGCATATTAAAAATATAGTGTATCCAAACAATTATTACAGAATACTCAGGAAAAAAATGGGGGGAAACGGTTTTTCCCCGAAGTTTTCCGTTTTTTTACCGGGCCTTCACATTTCTAGCGCCGCACCATGCCGTCGCCAGGAAGTGATGCCGGGCGACGCTCTGGTACCATCGAGTTTTCAGCCCCATTGTCAGAGCGTTGCCCGGCGTCACTTCCTGGCGCTGGCATGGTGCGTTACAGGGAGGAATGTTCTGGCCGGGGAGCATGTGTCCCCCACCGAATCGCAGTAAGTACTTGGGAACCCTAAGTGAAGGGCGGGGTATAAATCCAGTCTCTCCTCTTCTCTTCTTCTTCTCCTCCATGCTTGAGAGGCGACGAATGGAACATAGCAAGGAGTCTCAGTTCAGTCCCCAAAATTAGAAAGGATACTTTTACACATTTATCTCCTGTTTTGACCTACTGATTGCTTCACTATTGTTCCCCCTTAATTAAATCCAGACAACTGTTGGCTGTAGAAACTTGTTATTCCCGTTTTGTCCCCACATATCTTAAAACCGCTTCATCATGTCACATGCCAATTTGTTCTTCAGCCTCTGTCTATCAGTTTGAACTGTTACCTTCCATTTCTGTGTATCTGAGGAAGTGTGCCTTGCACATGAATGCGCACACCTTGAATAAAGCTTTGTTGGTCTTAAAGGTGCCACCGGACTCTAACTTTGTTCCGCTGCTTCAACAGGGCTGCTCACCAAGATTAATAACAAGCACAGATAGAGACAAATGTTCCCAAGGCTGGTTCCTGATTGGCCAAGCACGGGAGCCAGTGTTTCCCCTGGCCTGGACCGATGTATGATCAGTGCAGCATGAAGGCGATGGGGGGGGGGCATCAGTGACGGCTCTCTGTCATGCCCCATTAAGATTGACGACATAATTAGCTCTCGGTTGGCCGGAGGTGATCAGAGCCCTAATGCAGTTTTTTGCATCCTGCAAAGTGCTGTCGAAATGGGATCGTAATAATGATTTTCC